CCTAAGGCCGACGTTCCCGGAGGCGCCCTCACTGGTAGAGTCCAGCGGTGGGAGCGTGTTCTTAGCTGGAATGACTTCAGCGATTGCTTTGCGCAATAATGCATGTCACTATGAAAGTTATGCTGCAATCCACGGCGCAGAAGGCCAGGGAAGTACTCGCTCTGCCTGCAGACGGCAGTGCACAATCCAAGATGTAACATAAGGCTCTTGTCTGAATGCAGTGTGCTGACTGCTTGAAGTTGGTGTGTCCTTCTGCTTTGCTGATGTTCGTGCGTGTTGCTCTCTCCTTGCAGCCAAGCCTGAGTTCCACCGACAAATGCGGAGTGCAAGCATCTTCGTCCTGCGCAGCAGAAGTGACATGTTCACTGCATGGAAGTCTAGAAGCAGCCCCGACTACCACTGCCGAGGCGCAAAGAGACTCAAACGTGTGTGCAGATCATCCTCCAAAGGCGGTAGCGCTGGCGCCAGCGTTCCAACAAGAAAGTCCCGAAAGCGCTCTGCCCAAGTCTTCCCGTCTTTGGGGTCGAACCTACGAGCAGGAAATGCAACAGGCAAGGGCTAGTCATCGCAGGCAGGGGACTTCTGAAGCTAGATCAACTAATTTCCTTGGCACGATGGCTGTATCTGTAGCAGCTTGGTAGCGGGAGTCATGTTACTATTACGCATCTCAGCTAAGTTGAGGGCAAGATTGCAAACTGCACCAGTTCTGTTGTTCAGCCAGGCAGCAGGGCAGTCGGCGGGCGCTGGCGCAAGTGCGGGAAGAGCCTAGCATCGACTTGGAGCAAAACTTGACGACACAAGGAATCGTTACCTCAAAGCGCAGGAAGCAGAAGAGTAAAACCAAGTCTGCTCCAGCAAGTACTACTTGCGGCCAGAATGGCGATTTGCCACCCGGCAAGACATCAATGCTGTGCATCTCCTGCGAAGTCTTTGCATCAGGCGCTCGTGGCTCTCATGCTAAACGGTTCGGTTCTTTCGATTCCGACCTGTCTATAACTGTCACACTGCGGCCTTGCATGCCTCGAATGTTCTGCCGCTATTTGTTGTGCTGGCAAATTCTGACTTCTCGCTCCAGCAGGCAGAAGTACTTGGCATCGCCATCCTGACAGACCACTTGGCTTCTTCTCACATCAAGTATTGGACAAACATACCTACGCGCTCCTCGTGTGGATTTGACTCATCTTGAGCCAAGCGCACCTGGAGCGTGCAAGCGAACGAAACGAACAGACCATCCGATGCATGTCTAAGCTAATGAATCTGCGGCGGCTGTAGCCATATCACGTGGCCATTGCGCAGAAGCTCTTTCCCCCGAGCGCGCTGCATCCAAAAGCAGTTCGTGCACGATTCGCAGCACACCGCCAGCGCCGGCACCTTTGTTTCAGCTTTGAGGTGCAAGGGCAAGTGGTCAGTCTGAGGTGCTGCAGCCCTGGAGAACAGGACCTAGTAAGTTGCAATCCTGATGACAGATAGGAGACCTGTTCCATCACGGAGGGACAGCGACGTTCCGTGTCTGAGATCCTGGGAACCACAACCATGAGCTGACAGAACCCACGCTTTGCTTTCGTTAGGCTTCACTAAGTGTTTGGGGCACTGCACCTCCAGAAGTCGTTCCGCACGCCCAGGCGCCCAGAACTTTGCCGAGCGCGCACCATGCTCCTGTGAGTTGTTGAACAAGGAAAGCTTTTTTTTTGACATGGCATGCTGGCACACATCACGGCAGGCTGCAGCAGGCACACATGGCACACTGTCATCTTGCTTGGGCAGTCTCGTGCCTGCAGCCGTGATACCAGGCAAGCAGAGTCAGAGAAGTCGTCAGCCTCGGTCTGCGTCGTAAACAAAGTCAGACCATGTCACACTATACAAAGCCAAGCCACGCTCCACAGCTGGCAAAGGGCATCCTCACGCTTCATGCACGCTGCTTAGAAGGGACCCTGCAGCACTGAGCGGCTTGACTGTAATGCCTTCTTTCGGCAGAGAGAAGGCTTTTGAGGCTCACTTAGGATGCCCAAAAAAGTCCAGTGCTGATTTGCAGACACCACCAGCTGCTGGCTCCTGAGTTGGTTTTGCCCAACCCGGCAAGGTCTTGCTGGAGCCTGGCGTTGAAGCAAGAAGGGTAGCAGAAGATTCAGAATGCAAGTAGCCATGACATGCCATGACCTGCCAGCTGGCCTTCCGTGACTTCGAAGCCAGGGAGCTGCAAAAACCTTGTCTGCAGTTCAGGGCAGGTCAGGGCCCTTTTTCTACTTTTGCCCAAGGCGCATCTGCAGCAGCTCGGGGCTGGCTGGGTCCTGCCACAGCTCAAATGCCCAGTCCTCATGCACACAGGCAAAGCCTCGGCCAGGAGAGCTCGGAAAACATCTTCCCGCAGGATCTCCAAATCCTGAGGCTATGACACATTTGCATTCTGGAGATCTACCGTAGAATGTGCCCTGAGAAGAAAAGTCCTGAGAAGACTCCAAGCGTTCCAGTGCCTGGTGCATCATCTGCCTTGAAAATCCAGCGATGTAATTTGCTTGGGATGAGTTGGAAGCTTGCGTCTCGTTATCTAAAACAAAGAGATCGGCAATCATAGCACGGAATCGAAAGTGACAGCATTTCACAGCCATGCAACGCCACAGCTGCTGGACCACCCTGGGCAGTTGCCTGCCAAGAATTTAAGTCACGCAGTGTAAAGATTCGAGGCTCTTGGCATGCCGCTTCAGATGCAACGTCAGCCGAACCTCCGTCAGAATTTCTGCCCAGGCCACGTCCTTCCCAAGACCGCTCTGCAACGCACGATGCACAACCAGGTTACAATTCTGGGATAGGCGTTAAACGCTTTATAACATCAAAAACTTTATAAGCATCGAAAAACTGTGAAGCATCAAAAAACTGATGCCCCATTTCCTGGGGAGTACACCAATCCTGAATGCTTTTTTGATGCTTCGGATTTGACCTTACACCCAGGCAAAGGAGGAGAGAAGCACGGATCAAAAGAAGGAAGGAAGCAAGGAGGCTTTTATCAGTGTTCATCAGTTTTCATCAGTTTCGATAATTATCATCAGTTGTCATCATATTAGCTATCGTTTCATGGTAGTACATGGTTTCTTTCAATGTTCCAGCTTGTTCATCACTATCAGGATCGCTTCATCATGTTCATCATTGTTCAATATTCTTCATGATGTTACAGGATTTTGCATGGTTTTATGATCTTTCATATGTTCATTGTCATTTTGATGATTTTTCATGATTTGACATACTTTTCTGCTTATTCATCCCTCTTCATGATTTTTCATATGTTTAAAGGTGTTTCATGATTTTTCATAGTGTTCATCACGTTTCTTCAGTTGTCATCTTCTTTCCCAATTTACATGATGCTTCATGATTTTCCATCAGTTTCATGATTTCCCATTGCCGTTCATCATTTTTCATACATGTTCATAGTTTTCATCACTCTCATCAACTTTGATCATGTTCATTCCCTTCTCATCATTGATCACATCGCATTGCCACATCAAAGCGGCGGAAGAAAGCACCTGTTCCAATCTTTGTCCAGGTTTTGCAATTAGCTCAACCTCCTCCCATCCCCCGCTGCTGTTTCACTTACAAAGCACACTACGCAAACAGTTGTCATCAGATTCTCCTTTCTCACCATGCTTGCTCATCCATTTTCTCTTGATCTATTGGTGATGTTCATGATTTTCACCTTTTTCGCCATTGTCATCCATTTGCACGATGCTTCATAATTTTGCATTGATCATGATGTTTCTTGATTTTCATGATTTCTTATGATTATTCATCATTGTTCATCATTGTTCATCATGGTTCATCATTTATCATCATTTACCATGTTCCATGATTGTTCATCATGTTCATCATGTTTCTTCATTAATTGTTATTGTTCATCATGTGCTCATTACTTTCCTTTGTTCGATAATGTTGTATAATGTTCACATTTTTCAGGATCTTCATGAGATTTCATCAGCTTTCATTCTTTTCATGACCTTTCATGATGCTTCATGATGATCATCATGCTTCATTATCTTCATTATTTCACTATGGATCATCATTTCTTGTTTTTCATGTGTTCATATGTTTTGCTTTTTTACGTTGTATTAGCTTTTATAAGCCAGCTACTCCTACTAATACTGTTGCTACGACTTCTTCTTAGACGTCAACGTAAGTAATGCTTTTTGTCGATTCTTGCCTGTCCTCCTTGCCCCTGCTACATTTAGTACCCTTTTTGCTGTAAAAAAGTATGTTTGACGCGCTGGAAGTATGTTTATTGATGCTTATCACGGTTTTTTTTGTTTTATCCTGCACACTTCTTCATCGTCCCCGGCTGGCCTCCAGAAAAGCTGGCTTGGAGGCTGTCGGTACATCCTTGGTAGCATGGATGCTGGAACATGCAAGATGCCTCGGCCGCACTCACGGTTCCCACCCTTTGCATAGGAGTTGCTAGCGGGCACTGGGCTGCGTCAGCCAGGCGGCGCATCTCCGGAAGCCGAAGCCTTGGCTGCGCCAAGCTGAGAACCTGGAGACTTCTCGCACCTTTCATGCCGAGCATCAGCTGCTGTGCAGTTAGGCGCTTGTCTGGCACCTTTCATCGCAGCTCCAGCCATAGGCATGATCAACAAGACAGGCAGCCAAGACAAGCATATGGGAAGTCTGAAGCGCAGCTTTGCGGCTGGGACCAAAAGCAGCAGAAGAACGACGCTCAAATCTCTGCAAAGGCTGTCATCCTGGTCGCAGCGCAGCTCGCAGGATTCGTAGGACAGTGCAACGTAAACTTTGTGGCAACCGTGTGCATCGTGAGTCCTGCGGAAGCCAGCTTGTGATTCGACGCTGGATACTCTCCTCCCGTGCTGCTGCAACTAGCTGGATCACACAAGGTGCAAAAATAACAAAAACTTTAAGTGAGCCCATCTGAATTGGAAATACCGTCATGTTGGTCCCGTGATTCTTTGCATCTCTCGTCGAGCACAGAAACAGGACACTGTCTCAGCTCAGCCCAGAACACTCTAGCCAGGGGGGCGTTCTCGAACAAGGACCACAAGACGCCGCGTGGCAAGCCATGGGCATTTCGGGAACGGGCTAGAGCGCGGGACCAGACATGGAACCGCGTGGGCAGTGCGCCTGCCGTCTAGTATCATGAGGTCACCGCTTTCCAGCCGCACCTCCTTCAACACACCGCCAGGCCAAGCTTGGCTGTTGCTGGCCAGTCCAATGCTGAAAATGAACAGGAGTGAGCCAGCAGGCTGGAGATCTGTGTGCCGCTTGAGCTTGAATCCTGGACCAGACACCATCACCTCAGTGTCACTCCAGCCCCGATGGGCACGACGCAAGTCTGGAACCTGACAAGCATGTGATCGGGCCAAATCACATCGAATACTGTCAGCAAGATCATGGAGAACTCTGATCCCTGTGTGCCATGGGTTTGCTGTACGGTGATGCAAGTGCTTCTGGACAACGATACCATTCCGGACTCGACCCTCCGGCAGGCTCAAGCATAAGCCTTTGCAGCGAAGCTCATTGAGAACACGCCCGGCTAACAACAGCCCGAATTGGCCATCTACGTTTCGGACGTGAAGGAAAGGCTCTCGCTTGGTACCAAAAACCCGTACGTCTCCAAGCTCAACGCAATGACTGGACAGCTCAGGAACTTCTGGAGCCATTGGTGTTGCCCACGTAGGAAGACCAACAAGGGCTGCAAGGTTTGCAGGTCCAGCGCAAAGAGAATGCTGAGGCTGCACATCCTGGGAGCCCTTAATCCAGGCCTGGTGCAATTGCTTGGCAAGGGCGCAGTCGTGAGCCACTCGGCGCTGTTCTTGCTCCACCTCTTCTTGCCAACTCTGGTGCAACCGACTTGCAAACGCCTCATCCGACTCACCAGGACGGGCACGAAGAGCTTCCTGCAGCCCAGAGTCCAAGTCGATCACGCTTCTTGAAGTTGTCAGCTGCCAGTGACCAGTTCTTTGGCGCTTTGGAGCCGGCAATGAGCACAACTCAAGATCATCCACATCAATCGGCTCCATTGCTGCAAACTCTTCGAAAGGCAAAGACACCCATGCAGCTTAATGCATCCAACAGATGGGAGTCACTGCTACAAGAAAGGCAACAAACAAGTTCATAGCACGTCTCCTCCTACCTGCCTTTACATCTAGAATCTAGACCCACCGAAAATGCTATATATTTTATATATCCCCGAAGTTTTGAAGGTCTTGTGGTGGGTCGAAACATCAATTGCTAGACAGTCTCCTTGGACGTAATGCTTCGAGAGGAAAGAAGACCTAGATATTAGCTTGGGAAGGAAGCAGAGCCGACGGCAAGATACAACATCATTGACACATTATGCAATTCTGCGCATACCGCATCTGAAAGATGCAGCCACTCATGAGTGAAGCCCCTGCTGATTCTCCTGCAGCTTTCGGACTCCCTCCGCCAGCTTGGAGCTGGGATCCGCAGCTACAGTTTCCTTTCATGAGCACAGGACAAGATCGAAGGGAAGGGCCTCAACAAGTCAGCAAGCCCAGCTCAAACTCTCCAAAGGCGAGGATTTGATGCCAGTATCAATTGCTCAGCCGTATCAGGCCCAAGCGTCTTCACAAAGCCTCAATACGAAGCCTGAAGGCGGCTTCAGCTGTCCCAGCGTGACCACGCCAAGGAAGGCATCCTTAGATCGCTGTACTACCATGGTGCTTAGCAACACTTTTTAACTGCAGGTGTAGCCTCGACAAAGGATCAGCTGTGGTCAGAATCGATTTGACATGACTTGTGTGCATCTGTTGCTGCTTCTGAGGCTCCATGTCATAGGGAAGCGAACCATTGAAAGCGTCCACGACAGCACAACCCAGCGACCAAAGGTCCACGGCTGAAGTGTACCCAGTGTTTTTGAAGTAAAGCTCCGGCGCCATGGAGCCTGGGTGCAGTGAGATGAGATCTACTTTGACTCTTGAATATCATCGCTGCTCCCATCTGCCTGTGGTTCCAATGCCTTGGCGCGTGCCCGCAACCTGTAGGGCTCTGGCACTGGAAAACTTATCAAACGGAGCACAACTTGGAGGCAAGAACGGACTGAATCAATAATCTATCTGCAAGAGTACCCCACCTGCAGATCATAAAGCCTCAGGCCAAGCAATAACAGTATGTGGACACACTGCAGGGCCTTGCTGCCACTAAGACTGCAGCTGCATTTTTGCAGCGGAGAAGTCTGCAAGCTTTAGCACACCTGTTTGCCGCAAATGTGTGCCAGCAGGTAGGCACATTCAACATGCTCATTGCACCAGGCAAGTTCCGATTCAGATCACGGAGCTAGCTACAGTAGCGCAGCGAGTTGGTCCACCTCAAATGTTAGGATGTTCCATCGTTTCCGCGATAAGAGCTTTTCCCTTCTTGGGTAGAGTATGACCAAACGTAGCTTAGGTAGAGGATCACCCGAGAGGCACCTTCTTCGGAGAGCAGCAGGTTCTCCAACTTGAGGTCCCGGTGGATGGTACGGATGACCTTCTGATGTTTTTGCAGACTCACGGAGTGATGGATTGACGCTGCATCGCCTGATGAAGCCAGTGCAGCGCATTGGCCCCAGAGACAAGTACTCGTGCGGCCCAGGTGGCCTGCTGGGTAAGTAACGTTCATCACTTCGCTGCAAAGCATTCAAGCCATTGAAAGCTACAGCAAGTACAAGTAGCTCATCCCACCCACACACACACACACACACCTCATGTGCCATTGAAAATCACAGGCAGCCTGCTGCAGGCGCCAGTTCCGCTCGGCTTGCCAGGTGCCATCTCCCTGAGGAAGACCGAGAGCACCAGTACCATCGGAATTTGCGCTGACACTATTGAGCTTCTCCAGTGCCGTTTGTTCACTATCACCGGCAAACAACACCACAGCCTCCGGGCGCAGGCCCACTGGCAGTGGCGAGCGCAAAGCTCTCTCCATAACCAGGACGCCATCGCCTCCACAGTCGAGTGCCAAATTGCAGCGTTGACTTCTGGACATGCTCTGCTTGCAAAAGCAATTGCACCCCAACACTCGAACACCAACTGCCATCCTGCCTGGCTCCAGAAGATTCTCTGTGCCCTTCCCAGGGTTGCACACAGGTGCTCCAGTAAACCGGAAGGCAGCATAGTAGGCCTGAACAACACCAGGAAGAGTTGGGCATAGATTTAGACCCTCGCGCAAACAGTCACAAACATCTGAACGGAGCAGGCACCAGGATGTTGCGGTGAGGCTTTGTGAGCAGTGGTCTCACGACTCTTAGCTCCTTCAGCGAGCGGTTTGGTTAAAATCTTTGTGGCCCAAGCTTTGACCCCTTGCCAAGCAAGTGGAGAAGCCGCTCCCGCCGCCAGGCACCAGCGGCGTGGCGGTCGCTGCCAATGCCACGCACAACCTGCAGATGCCAACGAAAAAAGATGCCACATGCAGCTCCTTGAGTTTTTAAGTGCGAGCCTTCACCGCAACGCTTTCCCGACCGGGCCCAAGAGCTGCACAGGAGCCCAGGAAGACCCGGCCGCTCGCGCCGCGGCCCAAAGCCTGGCCCTGGGGCAAAAACTCGGCCATCGACTTCTTCACTTATCTTCACTTCAGTATCGCTTTCGGTGAGTTTCGGTCACTTCAGGTCCGTCCGAGCGGCGGAGAGCTGCACAGCGCCACAGGGTGCCTCCAAAACCTCCATCCTCTCAAGGAGAAGAAAAACTTCAAAAGAACTTCAAAGCTTACGTGTAGATAGGCGACATAAGAAAAGGTGCTTTAACGCGTGGAGCTTAGCCAAAGAGTTGGCTGCTTACATTTTTTAAGCCGCTGCCCAAGGTTCTAGTGCTTGCGACTGTCAAAACCAAACGCCTGAACTCCAGCAAAGGGCCTTGGCCTTCATGCGCTTCACGACCCGCCATGCGAACGGCAAGGACGAGCAGTGGTAGTAGCACGGTTGCAATACGGGGCTTAGACCGCCCACGCTGTTCATGCGCAGTTGTTCGTCTGCCTGCTTCTATGATTTTGCATCCATGGTCAAGACTTCGTTTAGATTGCTGCTAGCACATCCTGAAATTTTGCCCAAGAGCTTATGCTTGTGCATGCCAACTTCCTACCGACCTGGGCCTGTAAGCCACCAACACACACGCACTTAATGTCCTTCGCACTCCTTCGCGACAAGAAGGGCGTGGCTTCATTTCTGCTTCACAGTCGCCTTATAGCAAGCCTTTAGCATCGATTTTTCTCTTGAATCAATAGCGTGGCTCTTGCGCACCAGGTGAAACTAAAACTCTGGGTGTCACATCGGCTGAACAGACGGACCCTTCCACAGCACCTGAATTACAGCTACGTATTTCTATGGCTAATGAGCGAGGAGTCCACGGCAAGGTGCCTCGCCATCTGCCAAGAGCGGGCCAAGCCAACTGCCCGTGATCTTGGAAACCTCCAGACGAGGAACGACAAAGAAGGATCAATAGGGCATCCCCGTAGCTGCATCACGCCTCCCTGCCGGCTGCATTGCGCAACGAGCCGTGTAGAGTGTCCTATAAGCCGGAGATACAGAAATACGAATCCAAAGTGGGCACTATGGCCACATTGCCGTCCTCCGACGCGCCAGTAGCCATGTTCCCGAAGGCCAGCGCACACTGCCCAGCAGCACAAGATGAGCATGGAATTGGCTTTGAAGTTTGGAGCTTCTCCGAAAGGCCTTGGTCTTGCTACTGGGCCATTTGGCAACAGTCTGTCTTTCGCGTACACTTTCGAGGTTAGTTTGCCAATGCAGGCCGCAATCTGCGAATGAGTCATTGTGAGTTGTACATCCCGACGAATTAATTTCAAATTCTGGGGCCACTTCTCCATGCGAGCACCCGCCGTCTTCTTGAATAGGAATCGACATTGACGAAGACATGTACCATTGTGTAACCCAAAACACGTTCCAGCAACACGCCTCGCTTAGCTTCTTGCATTGCCACGGCCAGTCTTGAAGGAAGCAAACCCTTTTGCAACCCTGCAGATTTCAGGAAATGTTTTCAAACGTGAGCCTGAACAGAACCTACTAACACGCCAAATCCTGCCCTGAAAGAAAGGCAGACCACCAGCATCCGCGTCTGGCAGTCAAAACAGGCCACCTGCAAGCCGGAGGTGTCGTCTACGAAGCGCGCAGTGCCTAGGAAACCGTGGAGAATCTCACGCACTGCTGCAAGAAAAGGCTGATAAGGAGCTGGCCCAGCCACTCGTAGATGGACCCAGGTCCAAAGGTCCAACAACTTGGACGAACACAAGCTGCGCTATCGTTTGGAGTTGGCTTCAGCGGGGAGGTGCATGCCAATAGGCAATCTTTGCAAAGTCCTCACAAGGTCCGGACCTCGGCCGCACCCGCAGCGTTGGCCGGGTGAACCGCACAGAAGATGTGGCACTGTCAGGCGGCTTGGCTTGGCTTTCATAAATGAGCCACAGGATTTGCATCACCACAGACCTTTCTTTTAGATTTCTGGGGACTCTGCGTTGGTTCCCTACAGCCCACAGCCACCAATACAGTCACAGGAAGCAAGACTGCAAACGTTGTTGCCGAAGACCAAGACCGCGCGTGTGGAGTCATGGTTGGCGCAATCACTTGCGCACAAATTCCTGCTAAGCACTGCGAACGTCTGACACTCCAAGGAAGGCCTCCCAGATGAAGCGAATTCCACCTCAGTCCAGACATCATCTCCCAGAGCCCCTTCGAGGCCAGAGAATGATGAAAATTTACCCGTTACACCACAACCAGGTTCAGTGCCGGGGACTTGAGCAGTGCTCATTAGCAGGATTGGCACCCAGCAATATCTGCAAGTTTGTTGCTTCTTGACTCTTGGTTGTGCAGGACATACGCATACCACTCACGTAGAAGATGTGCTGAGGACCATCAAGTCACAAAACGAATTGGCCATTGCGCGGAGCATGCACCGGCTGTACATCTGAATCACGACCTAAAACCAGGATACTGTATCCTCCCAATCTGCTTTTTTTTGCGAGCAATTGCACTTAAGAGCAAGAGCAGTTGCACTTGCTCACCGAAAGCTGCATG